TTTTTGCAATATTAAGGTGGGTTCAAGCAAAACGGACTTGGAACTCGTTTGGAAACAGTAACTCCTTTAAGTTTGTGCGTTTTCATTCTTTTCTCCTCCTCCAGCGTGCGACGGTGAATGAGGGTGTGCGTGTGTGAAGGAACTAGTCTCAGCAATGGGCTCTTTCAGCGACCATGTATGGGTAAAGCAGTTCGGCTGGTTCAGCTCCCTGCTCCTCCTCCCTCTCCCAGAGCCGAGTAGAATCTCTCCTGCTGAAACGCTTGCTCCACGTTCTGCTTTCTATATTTGTACAGCGGCAGCATGCGCGCCGAGCGGGGCCGGGGCCGGCCTGCTGTGCATTCCGCATTCGCTGAGCAGCATTGAGAGCCAGGGCTCACAGTCTCTGTCATTACATCCGTCTTGTCTGTCTGTCTCTGCGTCTCTGGGGAGGACTGGCGTTCCAAGTGAAAGGTGATCTGTTTGTGGATGTTTTCTCTCTCTTTTTTTTTTTTGTTTTTTTTTTTTTTTGTTTATACAAATTGGGAGTCTAGGGAATGGAGGAGGGCAAGCAGTTGTCTTGCAGGGAGAGTATGTAATGGGTGGCAGCAGCATCAGAAAGATACAGTTTTAATCCAAAAGAGCTGCTGTCCTCTAGGATGAGGATTTTACACTCCATGCCTGCTTTGGGGACTGATTAGCCAGGACTTGTATCTTTCCATAAAAGGTATGTTGTTACTGTCTGCTCTGAAGATTAAGGAAAATTACATCCTGTCCTGGAGGAACTGATTGCTGCCTTTGCTTCTTATGGGCAAGGGGGATTAATGAGGAGCTAGACCCTGGGCAGCCTAGTTTGGAATAAGGAGTTGGTGCTGAGGGATGGGGTTGCAGGAAATACCTTGTTAGGAAGAGCTGGAAACTTGTAGCTAGGGCTTCCCTGGCTGTGTGTTTGCATAAACTTTGTATTAAGGCCCTGCACACACTGGGATGACTAGTCATAATTGCTAGTAGATCAGGTGAACAAATAGGGCAGGAAGACTGTTAGCTGCTGACACTGTAGTAAACTGTTGATACGATGGTCTTTGAGTAGCGGAAAGGTGCTTAAAATAGTGGCAGCAACTGGATCCACCATTAACATTGGTAATACATTTTTTGAGAGGGAGAAAGAGGGAAATAGGTCATAGGGTACTTTTTCTGTCTTTCAGGGCATGCTGTCCATTTACAAATTCTGCTGCCTTTTGAATATCTTTGCAAGTAGGCATCAGGCCTTTTGTTTCTGGAATTTGAGGGAGGAAAACATGGTTTCATTTATGAAACAGAAGGCAGCATCTTGCTAAAATCGGTCTTGAGGACCATATTCCAGTGACTTCAGTGTGTTTTCTCCCAAGAAAGCTACGTGTATCCTGAATTTAGAAGGAACAAATTTTTGGAGGCAAATTGATGGATCTCAGCTGCCCGTCGGTGTCTGAATCGCTCTGTGTCTGCAGGCAGGGAACTGTGATTGATGTGTGACAGAGGGTCAGCTCATTCTTGAACTCAAGCAACTTTGTTGTGTGGCTTTATTCTGATTGTTCTTTGTTTAGTGAGGACACACTGCAGTAGTTGTTCCATCTTCATCTAGAAAACCTGTGGAATTTATTGTAAATATGCAGCTTCTGGGACATTAAGCTTGTTGTCTTAAGTGCCCCGATATGTTTCCCAGTTCTTGAATCCTCTTAAAGCCCTCTGCCTTTCTTTCTTCTAACTTTTTCACTTCCTGACTCCCTAGTTGACATCCTTTCATTTGTACTAGCCAGAACAAAGTGGCAAAATCATAATCTAAACTGTTTCTGAGTTTACAATACCAATTAAAAGCAAATCTTGGTACTTTTTGATGCCGGCAATTGGGCTTGTACAATTTATGTATTTGAAAGTGTTTTCTGGTAGCGTACTTAATTTTTGCTTGTAGTCTCATAGGAGGAATATGATTAGGCAGTTTGAAAGGCCTCTTGAAAGTACACTATTGCATGTTCAAAAAATATTGTTTGTCCCTTCTGTGAAAGATGTCATGATAAACGGATAGAACACTGAAGAAATGTATATTCACCAAGTGCATTGTGTAGGTGAAAGATAAAGCTGGGCTGTAGAATGGCACTAGGGGATTTAAATCTTCCATTTTGCAGGAATCTTCCTAAAGGCAATATGTAAGAAAGTGACATTGTTCAGAGCTAAGCTAAGCTGCCAGTTTGTTTCTTGGAAAGCAGATGCTTTGAGCTACGTACGTAGTAAATTCATCTTGTACCTATTGCCAACTAGTGCACAAAAAGTAAAGTGCCTATTTCCCGGAGTTCAAGTGATTCATGTAGCAAAAAATAGTGCTTTAGATATATAAGGACAGGAAATCATATTTGCCTTATATACTTGGAGCTTAAGGGAGAATACTCAGTAATCCATTCTGAATCAACTACATTATTATCCTGTTTGCAGAAAAGGTTTCATCAAGGTTGGAGACAAGTGAAAAATTAGCTTTTGTCTGACATCCTTGAAGGTCCTGAAATTCCATAGGGAGGGGTAATTTCTTATGTTCTTCTTACCTTGTTGCTTTAATTTTTTACAAAAAGAATTCCTTTTTTTTTTTTTAATGATGTCATAGTCTTGCAGTTGAATAATAAAGCTAGGTTGAGGGTGGATATGTGGGAAGATGATAGGAATTTGGAATTAAATCCAGTGTTCATTTGAAGTTAGTTAAACTTATAACTGCTGTTGAAAAGCAATTACTGGTATTAAACTCCAGGAAGAATAAGTGAAAAGTGAAATTTGAAAAAGATTTACTTGTGATTTGAAAAAGCTGAATCATATAGTTTAATCAAGGATAGGGAGTGACATGTCTTTAAATATTGGAGGCAGTCCTCTGACAAAGAATTGGGGCAGTAAAGGTGATTATATGGAAGAACATGCACATGTTTCTTAAAGGTATAGTGTTTTCTTAATAGAAGTAGTGGAAGCCTCATTTATCACTTGAGGCCTTTAAAAAGGATTAATCAGTAGAGAATTAATTATGTGAAATTCAGCACCTAGATCTGACGATGTAGTTCTGTGAGTAATTTGAATGAACATATGCCATTATTGCTCTGTAAGAGGCTCATTCCATTTTTTCAGGCATTTCCCCTTTCCTTTGGGCTGCCAAGAACATCTGTGTGGTTTTGCAGGGAATTGAATCAGGGAGCATGTCTGGGTTAAAACCATTATTTTCCTGTTGTTGCTGTTAGACTAGATCACACCTGGATCATTTCCTTTCTCAGGCTTGTTATACAGAGATAGCTGGTGAGGAAAGAGTTGTGCTCTGTTCTTTTGGCAAGAGCATCAGCTTAAACTGGACCTACAGTAGGAATATCTTGGTCTATTCTTTGGAATTTCTGCCCCGTTTCTATCTAACCTTTATGGAGTGCTTCTATGCAGTCTTCTCTAGTAGTACAACCCAAGAAAATGAAGTAAGAATTGTTTGTGTGCTTTACCTGCTGTTGCAGATATCGTTTGGTCTAGACAGGGAGGTACTAAATGTTGTCATAACATAATTCTTTATGAATGCAGTATTTGATAGGTGCTGTGTTTGCTGTAGAGAGAAGCCTGCTGTTTGTTAGGGGAAAAAATGGGTGAACTTTCCTGATGTGAGGACAGAGAGAAGATAATGTGCCACGTAGACTGTTACATGTGAGGTTTTGATTCAGGAAGTATAAGGTACCTCCGGAATTTAGATATGAGGTATAGAAACCTTGAGAATCCAGGAAGATATATGAGAGAGTTTTATGTCTATGTGGAGTCCTCATGCAGCCAAATCTGTATTTATAGCACTTGTTTTTGTCATGAAGTTTCTGGAGTCTCCTCCTGCTAGCAGTGGAAACCAGCTGATGTCATACTGCGCCTTCCAGGAAAAGTGAATGGAAAGAATTGATGGAGAAGTGTGTAAGTGAAGAACGTCTGAAAATACGTGCATAAAACTACAAGCAAGTACTGAGTCTCTCTAATTCTTGGCAAAGTGCGTTGACACTCTTGATCCTTCCTGCTCCCTTCTCCCCCCACTCACCTAAAGTCTAAGATCGGCCGCCGGATTCGGCTTTGTAGAGCAGGGAGGGTTTCTGAGGCCACGGAGAGAGAGGAGCAAGCGAAGCTGCGCTGGCACAAGTCGGTGAGCGTTAATCACCGCAGGCCAGCAGCCTGGAGGGAGTGTTTCAGGGTCAAAAAACGGGCCATGAGGGTAGTTTGTGGAGTAAAAAGCTGCTGACATCAGTAGGAAAGGCATTGTATTAGTCATCTTGAGATGTTTGTAACTCAGAATGAAAGTTAGGCTTCTTTAGAGAGAAAAGTTCATCTTAGGTGTGGCATTAGATTTGTGAATGGTATTCAGACAAAAATAACGCTTCAAAGTGCTGCATGTGTTTATGCATCAATGCATTTTCAGTGGGTATTCGGTTGTAAGTTAACACAGGTTTTTTTTCTGGTTTTTCGATATTATTTGCAGTGGTTTGTACGCTTCAGATACTATGATGTAGATAATGAAGGGGGGGGAATATTGCAGAAAAGAAACCAAAGTATATACAGATGATGCTGCAAATGGTGGCAAATGAGAAGCCTTCGGAGAGCTTGAGTAGAAGTTTAGGAAGAGCTGCTTTGCAGTGAAATGGTTAGATTTTATTTCATTTGGATTTTTGAACAAAAGTCAAGACATTCCTAAGTTAAAATTCCCACAGCAATGCCAGTGTTTGCCTCTGAAGGAGAAACAGAAATAGTACAAAGTATTTTTAAAGCTTCAACTCTACACGCCCAATATTAAATCTCTTGAAGTGTTAATGACATTTAGTTGCAGTTGAAAGTGATTTGAATCAATATTCATCCCTTAAAATAGAGCATTGACTCCAGTTCTTTGCAGATGTAAATGAGTGTAATTTGAGAGTTGTATCCATTTACTTCTGCAAATGATTTGACCAAGTGCCTATTGCAAAATAAAAATAAAAAAATAATTGAGCATATTTTTACTCTTTGGTTTGCAGGCGTGGCAATGGCAGATTCTGCACGGTAGAGTTCATGGCAAGTATTTGTCTAATATAAGCCAAGCAAGAGACACATACAAGCTTAAGGTAAATCAGTCTTTCTTAGTTATGCTTCTTTGAAATAAAATAGAAATGTTTATACTTAAACATTTTGCAAATACAGAATTTCAAGCCTATGCAGAATTTTGTATCCAGTTCGATTCTGATCTTTCAAAATTGGGACACCTCAAAATTATTTTCCCTCTAAAGTTGGCAGCAGTTGCTGAAAATGATCATATGCACTGTGTCCCCTTTTAGTATTTTAGGTGTAATAGTACAGAATATCAATTGCATTTGAGGATCTTTGTGGGGAGACCTGCAATACGTTTTTCTTCTGTTTGCGTTTGAATTTATTCTCTTTTGTGCAATCAAAAGAAAGAAGTGTGTAAGTACTTGGATATTATTATAAAAGACTTACCGCAGAGCTATGCATACAGTGTCTGTCTAAACACTGCACAGGGGTGATTTTCTCATTGAGATTTTTTTTAGTCTTGCCTTTAGTGGTAGGTAAGTGAAAGTGTTAGTATTTGAATCTTGTGGCTGAGGGGGATGAGGTTGTTGAAGTTCAGTGAGTGGTGTTGCTTCTAGAAGTAGGCTTAGTGATTAAACTGAGAATATTGTTTCTGTTCGCTGCGCCTCGGTCTTTTCCCCAAAAGAAGACATGAAACACTGTGCTACATTTGATGGGCCTTCCTGTGGCCTATACAGTATCCATAAAGCAAAACGTGAAGCCATGTTTTCTGAATATTTTGGTTCCTCTTTCAAAAGGTAAATAAACTGTTGCATTGGTGTGTACCTTCTGTGTTGGCAGCTCCTGAGATACTTTGAGTCCCTTGATGCCATAATCTGGAAAGGTATAGCAAGCTTAAATCTTTTGTTAGTGACATTCTTTGGGTTTTACTAAGAGACAAATGTTTTGTGGAAACCCTTTTTATGAAGTTGTTTGCTAGGTTTTCAGCTGAGATGCACCTGTAACAATGTGGTGATACTCTCTGACTCCCATTGAATACATTCTGCCACCAGTTCTTAAAATATCTTTTCAAAAGAAACCAAATAAGATAATACTGTACAAGTGGAGACTCTTAGGACCACAGGACTTGTCCAGTGCTGTTCAGTCCCATAGTTAGTCATAGAACTCATGTCTTCTGAGTCCCAGTCTTGTGTTTTCAACAGATAGACTATAGGATTGTTTTGCATCCTCAAAGTGTGTCTCTTGATGCTTCCATTTCGTGTTGTAAGAATAATGATCCTTTTGAGGAATATTTAAGCTGTAATTGCTGACTGGGCATGGAACAGACATTGCAGATACCCTCTGCATCCCAAATCTTACGTATTTTATGAAGTTCTGGTTACAATGACTTGAAGCATGACATTTAGAATGTTTTCCCCTCTCTTTTTTTTTTGTCTGTAATGGTCTCAAAATGTGCACCTCCTCTATTCTTCATTCTGTTCTTCCTATTATATCTCAAGTCGAACAAACTTACACTCCCATAGTCAAACATGTTGTCATGAGTAATTCAACTGCTCTTCTTATTAACTGTACAGATTGCCTGATATCCTGCATGCACATTAGTACTTGTGCTGGCAACACTGAGGCAAACAGTATTTGACAGCGCTGCAAAAACTCAAATGAGCAGGCTCAGTGACGAGGAGCTGAGAGGTTTGGGTGGTGTAAGGATGGCAATAAAATGGCATTTCTCAGAGAAGAAAGGAGAGCTGCTTCCTTGGTGAGGTTTGGGGTGCTGTAGGAGTTTCTTGTCACTGTTTGTGTTGTCTTGTTGTCTCATAAGTAATGTTTACTAGAAAGTGGGTTGTGACCTAAGCTGTACAGTAATTGAAACTTCATCTAATTTGTGTAGGCTTCTCTGTTTGTAATCTGATTTGTCCCCTGCACTTGTTCCTTCGCTCTCTGATGCATCATTATCTCCCTCCTGCACTTCCTCTAGAGAAATAGTGATTTTTACATTTCCAAGTTTTTATTATTGGCCATATTGTTACTTAAAAGTATGTAAATCCGCAGTGAGTCCAGACCAAATGTTGATTTTATGTGAGAGACTGTAGGCGCCAGGATATATCTGAGGTTGAGCTATGTGGTGTATTTTATCTGTTAGCCTCTGTAATTGTCAATGGTAATTTTGATATCCCATAAACATTAATTCCTGGAAGGTGTAATGAGAAATCAGAACTAACTGGTCTAGACAAGTGCTGACTATGACAGTAATTTCATTGATCAGCGTGCATTAAATGATCCGGTATTCTCTTACAGATGGTCCTGGGTGCTGGTGAGACCGAAGTTTTGCCACTAAGTATGAAGGCAGTATCATTAGATATATTGGCCTCAGATCCATTAGGCAGTACTTAGTGGCCAGAGCCACTTGTTTTCATTACCAGCTGCAGTTCTATTTATATTATATTGCATACCAGAAGTTACAACTGTTTGTTCATCACTGAGAGTGTATTTTGTCACTCGTAGACCTGGCAGGGCTAAGTGTTAAATCGAAGTGTTAAACCTTCATTTTACTGTGTGGAATTGTCAGGTGTTTCTCCCAGCTTTGTACAGAATTAGTTGGAAGTGCCATCTGTACCCAGATGCAGCACTTCAGTAAAGGGGGGAACTTCAGAAAAATGTCTTTCTTTCTCTTTCTTTGCAAAAGCTGTGATGAGATGTGTGAATTTACACCTGTTAATTGTTTTTGCTGTCCCCACTAAGAACCTACACTCCTGCAACTATGAAAGCAGTTCAGTGTCAGCATCTAACGCTGGGCTCGGATAAATCTGCATTTTGCACAAGGGCTTCCTGCCATGTCAGTTAATTACAGAAATGGGTATGCTACACACATTGCTAGCAGTGTGCCAGCTGTGTATAGCTTGACCTGAGGTATCAGAGTCCTCGTTTCTTCTGAGAAGAAATACAGTTGTTGGATTCTTTGGCCTTTGGGCCAGGTTTGTCTGTTGTATAAACTTGGATGAAGTATTTGGTGCATTTATATTCTGCGTGCAATTAAATGAACCATACTAAAAGAATTTTGTTTTGAGAAACACTTATGATTTACGATCATTCTCCCGGGCTTTCTACAGGTGGTTGTCAGATTTGCTGCTTGCTTTTTAAAGTTTTTATTGTCTTGCTTTTTGCCTTTGATTCGGTGAGGTGTATATATTTTCCCAGAGGTATCCAAGAGTTATGGGTACCTCTGGCTATGTTAACTGTACTTTTGGTTCCTTTGAAGTTTTAAAATTAATTCTCTAGACAGTTACATAGTTATATGTGCAAAAGGAAGATTTTTTTTAACATAAAAAAAGTTGTTTACCAGTTTATTCTTAAGCATTTACAAGATCAATGAGCTGTGTGTCTCACATTTTTTACAGAAACATAACTTAACATTTATGTCGACTTCCATAGGGCTTAAATATCTGGCAAAGATTGGGTTTAAAGGAAGCAAACAAAAATGTTATGTTTCATGATGTTTTGAAGCCAGGTCTGTTAGCAGGAACCTGAGACCATTTTTTTGGCCATAAACAAATATTCTTAATTAAACTTCAAAAAAGCGAAGGAATGTGGGTGAGGTGGAAGGAGGTGTCCTCAGGTAACATATTTGCCTGAATCACTTGTAGGAGCTTCATAATGCAGAATATTATTGTGAAACAGAACAAAGATAAGTATGTAAAGTGTTCCCTGACCAGTAGTGAGTTTTCGGTAATATTTTAGAAAAGATAAATGCATAATTTTGAAAATACACATTTCAGATGACCTGGTTATGTTTCTTGGGATTCATGGATTGATTTCTATTGTTTTAATCCAGTATTGTGAGAAGATTAGGTTTTGTTGTTGTGTTTAGAATTCTGTTTTCCTTTAGAGGGCATAATACTTTATTAAATCAGTTGAATAAATTCTGAGGAAATTAGAGCAATTGAAAATTACTACAAAATAGGGATAAAAAAAATTCTCAAGAGATCTTCCCCTGGAAGAGAGGGTGTGAGTACATGTAGTAAATATCCAAGTATATTGCAAGACAAGTGAGAAAAGGATACGGATCACTTATCCACACTTCTCAGAGAATATGGAACAAAGGTTATGAAGTGGCCTGCAAAGCAGTGAAAATGTGGGAATTCAAATAGCCTTGTTCAACTCTTCTCCTTGCAGATGGATGAATTTTTTTGGTTTGGTACCTGTAGATAAGTAAACGGATTTGGATTTTCTGTGAAATACTGCAAGACTACCATGAGTGTAGTTCTGCAAAATAACCTAGGAGGGAGCAGAGAAGACATTATTTTTAAAAAAGATCCAAAGTTTGTTTTTAAGTATGTGCTAGCTTTTGTTGTGGGTCAGTTACTGAATCTGCAAAAAGAGAACCCTGAATCCCAGAGTAGCGTCCACTACTTATGAGACGTTAGTACAGAAAGTCTGTGTGGTTCCTGGTTGATGATTTGTTTCAGATGTAAAAATAATATTTTTTCCTTGTGTTGTTAGTTCTTTGTGTTCCCTAATTCAGAGCTTTTTTTGTATGTTTCCATCTATAACTATCTTACTGTCAGAATAGTGTGACTTAGGAGTTTAGGATTGTGGGTCCTGCTGTTGGTAACTCTGCTTCTCTCATGAGAGCCAAAAAACCAGACAGGTAGGATAATTTATTCTCTGTATTTTTGAATTGTGCAACTTCATTTTTGAGTCTAATGATGGTTGTTACCACCTCACGATGACTTCTGTTATTAGAAATATGCTTTACTTTCACAGTCCTCAGTGTTTTACAAGATGGAGTTTGTTTTGTGATGATTGTTATTATCTGATTTTAACTCTGGAGTACTCAATGTCTGTGTTTTTTCCTTTATCTTATAGAGTGAAGACTGGAACGGCTAGAGGGAGGTGCATAGCTGCAGGTATGAACCAACTACAGTTTGTATCCCTCAGTTGCGTATTGGAGCTTTCTTTCAAAGGTTTAGAGAGAAGTTGTTTTTACTGTCAATGGTGGAAGTGGTCATTTTCCACTGCAGTGAGCAGTGCTCCCTGAACCTTACGCTCTTTGCAGTTTCCTGCCTTTGTACTGCTAAAGGGGCTTGGGAGTGTTAACAACCTAGGCCTGCAAGTACCAATAGGCTTCTTTAGCTCCATCAGGAATTTCATAATTTTAGAAACATAACAAACTGAAAAATATGTCTTCATAGCAATTTCTTGGCCAGGACAAATCTGAAGTACTCTGCAGTACGTGAAACCCTAAAGGTGAGTATTAGTGGAACGATTCCCTCTGGGCTGAGACGAATTTGATTACGTGCAGCAGAATGGGAACACAGTCTGGTTTAAAAATGCTTGGAGCCAAATGCAAGGATCTTCTGGTATAATTTTCTTAATGCCTGAAGTCCAGTAAGGGCGTCGTTTCAAGACACAGCTGAGGCAGTTCCCTCTTCCTCCTTTATTCAGTTTCCAACTGAGTAGTTCTGTGGCCTTTGGTTATGCTTGGTCCTTGTGATAGTTGGAGTGTATGGTAGACAAAGGCAGCTTGACAACCCAATAAAAAGCTCTTGTCATCAAGTTGTTATTTCTCTGGTTTAGCAAGTTGGAATGATTTACTGGTCAGAGGAGCACCAAAAGAATAGATCAGACTGTCTATAACTGTGTACCATAAGAATTTCAGTTCTGAGGACAAATGACCTGTAACTGCTGTGTTAATTAACACTATCGTGCTCAAAATGTGGTGATTGTTGCTCTTCTCATGAATCATCTCTGCTATAGCAGAAATATAGCTTTAGTCTGTAGACAACCAGGGTGAATTGAAATGGATACTGTCTTGAGGAAACACTTGTTTTTGGCTGTGGTCAGACATCTGCTACAGTCATGTCTGTATCAGAAATAAAATCAAATGTATCTTTAAAGTGCAGGATATCCTGTAGCTCCATATGTTACTCATCAGTATAGAAAAAGCTAAAGTTGGGTTAAGAAATCCAGGAACACCTTCATTTTCAAGTGATTTTTTTTAGATTTTAGATAACTGGTGATTGAACTCTGAGTTTGGAAGTACTGCTCTGAGGGCATCGGTTTCCAGGCATTGTGGGTGTTCTGAACACCCAGCTTTTCTAAATGACTGGTGCTCTGGGCTTTGCCCTTCCTGCTCCTTTGCTGCTCCTTTAGGATCATACAGAAGATAGGAAAGAGAATGCTGGTCGTTATATTTGTGGTTTTGTCTGAAGAGTTTGTAACCTTTGAGACAGGCTAAATCTGTGATTAGATCTAGTTTCTCAAACTCATGGGATTCTGCTAATTACAGTTCTGAGGAAGTCTTTGGCATGGAGATGAAAATGATTTGTCTACTTAGAAGGAACTTCAACTTTTCTGCCATAAGAGAGAAGTTAATACTTCCTCAATACTTCTAAAACCATTTATAGTTTAGGAAACTAGTTGTAAATTTGTTTGGTTATAGATTTACTTGTTTGGAGGGACTGTTCTGGACCAGAGTAGTGTTCTTCATTCTTTCTGGGCTTAGCTCTTCCCAAAGATGAAACCTTGTGTAGTATCTAATCTAATGGTTATTTAGACCTTATTAAAGAGGAAATTTTTAGATAGACATGGCTGTATTTTCTTAGTTGATTAGGGAAACTGAGGCACATATATCATACTGTTTCTCTTTTGACTCTAGAGGCTTGAAAAGTTTAGATATTTTTCAGAAACATGCTCTCTGACATCTTGATTTTTGTCCTGCGTGTGTAGCTCAAGAGCTAGTGAAGTTTTGTGAATGGAAGTTTTGTGTTTTTTCTTTTTTTCTAAAATATGCAGTAGGAAAGTCTCAACTTCTTTAGGAGACAAGATAATAAAATAACAACTTCCTAAATTGATCACATTTCTTTTGTGCCAGGAGCGATGCTGGAGCTTCCTGTGTTGCGTCTGTGAGTCTTTTCTACTCCACAATGTATGTGGTACTTTGGGCTGTACCCATTGAACTTTCCAGGGGTACCATATCCTATTCCTCTCTCCTCTACTCCACTCGTGGACAATGCTGGAGCTATACCTTTGCAGCCCTGTGCCAATAGCCAGGGGAAATAATATTTTATTGTGTTCTAAATTGATGCACTACACAGAAGTTGTTATTGCAGCAATTACTATTTTAACTGCAGTGTGCTCTCCTGGAGCTGTCTGGGCTGTGTGTGAACTCTTTTCAGGTAACGTGCAATTAAAAGCTTTCATTTGGATAAAATGAAATGAGAGAGAAATAGTGAGTGAATTTTTACTGTAGCATAATTTTCTTGTTTGTATCTGATACTATCAGTAGAAACAATTTGAGATTAAAGGGCTCCTCAAAACGGCTTGCATGGCTGTTCTGGTGGCTGTAAAGGACAATGAAACTTGAGACTTGTTGCTTTGTTTAGTCCAAAAGGTCTCTTGAAACTTAACAGGGGAAGAAAAAAAAAAAAGCCTCTATCATACTTCAGAAAGATTTTTAAACTGGTCTGACTGCTATTCTAAGACACTTAGGTAAGGAGAGGTTTTTAAAATAAATTAATAATATTAATTTGATTCCTTTGATTTAAGTTTACATGTTATATTTCTGAATATAGAAGTAAAAAAAAGTAAACTCTAAGTAAGAAAAGTAACTCTAACGAGTTCTTACTTTAAGGTTTTGCTTTACACATGCACAAGGTATGTTGCTTGCAATGAACCTTAGTTAAAGGTGGTTTTGAGTCTTTTCTCATGTAGGCTTACACAACAATCTTCATATGTGGTATTGTTCTGGAATGTTATGGTTCTGTAGTCTCCCCTGGGTCCAATATGCAACCACACAGCAATTCTCTGTGTATATGTAGTTGCTTTGCCCATTGTAGTGCTTTGTGGCACATTTGGCTTGAAGACAAGCCGACTGGTCAGAGCTTTCCAGGACCCAGTGGATTTCTAGCTCCTTAGCTGAAGAATGTCTTCTGCCTCTGTTTTAGTGGCAGAAAACTAACCTCAAATATGTAGTTGATTCTTTAAAAATCTCTCTAGCAAATACTGCAGACATACAAAAAAGTTTCCAGTGCATCTTTTTGACTAACTGCAGATTCCTATAATATAGGAAAAGGCAGCAAAATACAGGACTGTCTGAAGCCAGATTTCTAGGACTTGCCTTTCTATTTACAAAATACAAAAGTTGAAGGAGATCTAAAGTATTCTGTTTCATAAAATTGCTCGCAGGGCTGTTTCTTACACAACAAGCTGAAATACCAATGGCCAATTGAAAAAAAAAACGTCATTTTTCTAAACTCAGAGACAACATTTGGGGAGAGGAAAAGGGGAAAAAGTGGTGTAAGAGGATCTGTACCTCTGCTTTCAGGGCATGATGGCTTGCAAGCATTAGTGTTCTCACTCTCTTCTACTTAAGATTTAAGCATTGAAGTGGAAATGTGTTTTATCATCCATACTTTCTGTGTGTCTTATGGTCTGAATTCAGTCAAGAAATAAAAAAGGCGTGGGGGGGCAAACCCTCAAACCTTCCTGCAGCCTTAAATGTTCCATCCTGTCTCCTTTTAGCAGTTCTCCGTCCTTTCACAGGATAGAAATGCATGTCCTCACTTCTTATACTCTCATTTCCTGCCTTGTCTCCTGTTCTGTGTCATGCTGCTGCCTTTATTTCCTCTTACTATTGTTGTGACCAAGCCGCTTTTCCTACTTTCTCAAGAGTTTTTTTTCCTATCTCCAGTGCCAAAGTGTCTGCAGGTCTTTCAGATCTCTCCTAGCTGCTTTCAGATTTCCACAGTTTGTCTCTTGCAAAAATATAAGCGTTGTTGTTTTCTAGCACTGTGATTAAAAACTCAAAATGCTTCCCAAACTGTCTGTTGGGAAGCTGGCAGGTGTTTAAAAAAAAAAAAAAAAAAAAGTCTGTTGGAAAGCTGGCAGGTGTTAAAAAAAAAAAAGAAGAAAATTTTAAACTGAAATTCTTTTGCGTACCTTCCTGTAGAGCAGTACCTGAAATACACATTTCACATCTATTTACAAAAAAAAAAAATAATGCCACAACCTACAGATAAGGATAAAAGGATTAAATCTTTTACAGTTTTTGGTCGTTGTTTTTAAAGTTTATATGCCTTCCTAGAATGAAGAAGGGAAGAAACCTATATGCTTCTGCTTTAAAAGCAATTGCCCCGGGGTTCATACATCAATGCTTCTTCCTCGTATCAATTATTTATTGTAAAGCATCTTGCAAAGAGGGATAAACATGTGATGATTGCTCCTTGTCTATGTTCTGCCTAAATTAATTATTCTAGGAAGCCTGCATTAAGGCATGTTGTTATCTGTCCTACATGTACAGATGCTTTAATAGGTTGTCATGCATTAATTGCTCCAAATGCATGATTTGGTCTTTTGGCAATTGTTCATCTGCTTATTTGCTTCATGTCTAGTATCTTTCATTCAGTGTCTTCTCAGCCAGGCCTCTGCTGTCATATTTGCATCACAGTAAGTTTTACTGTGTAATGTTTTTTGGGGTTTTGGGGTTTTTTTTAAAATTCACTACTACTACTACTAAGAAATAGCTGATAATGATGATTTTTGTCTCCCTTTCTGTTCCCTTAATCTGAGAAAAATGAGGAAATATGCATGATAAAGAAACAAGATTTAGCAGGAAAGACAGAAATTACATTTCAGACCACTATTCTGAAGATCACAATTGGGAACTTTAATTACAAAATTGAAGTTTTTTTTTTTTAAAATTCACTACTACTACTACCACCAAGAAATAGCTGATAATGATGATTTTTGTCTCCCTTTCTGTTCCCTTAATCTGAGAAAAATGAGGAAATATGCATGATAAAGAAACAAGATTTAGCAGGAAAGACAGAAATTACATTTCAGATCACTATTCTGAAGATCACAATTGGGAACTTTAATTAAAAAATTGAAGTTTAAAGCTAGCAAA